GAATTAGGCCAGGCAAACACAAAGCCAGCCAGTGGCGAGCTCACGTGCAGCGTGCACTTTGTCAAGTAAGTGTCATCACTAACCATACAACGACGCAATAGGAACAAAAATATGCAACAGACGCTTTTCTTTTCTTGCACGTTCATTAATAAATAAAATAAAAATGAATAAAATATGAATATAATAAGCCCCAGGTACAGTCCGGGAAGCTCATCCGAAGATGAATTAGGCTCGGTCACAAGGCTGGTTTCAAAGGCTGAAGACTTGGAGATCGAACGTGTTTTCAAACGTCAAGCGGCAGATATAGGAAAAAGTCGTTCCTTATTTGAGTTTGGGCACAATTTCGAAGATGTGCGCGACTGGCTGACCATCGAGCAGCCATCAAAAGTGTGCTTGAAAACCGTATTGCGCTATATGGTGGAGAATCATTTGAAGACAACCGTCAAAATTGAAATCAATAAAATGTATTTCAATTGCCATTTGCTTGTGCTGCAGGCCTACTCCAAGTACTTCATGGAACTCAATCCCATTCCGTTCGTTGTGACGCTCCCAGAGACGAAGGTGTCACAAAAGGCATTTATGCTCGTCTACAAATGGATGCTCAGCGATGAGCCGATCCTGGAGCGCAAAGACATTGTCACCGTATTTGTGGCAGCCACTTATTTGAGAGTGAAGGAGTTGCTGTTGCATTGCTGGAAGTATTTCGACGATAAGAACTGCTTTAATGAGGCCTCCGCGTGTGTCATGTACGTCGAATCAAAGAACAATGTGGCCTTAGATGTTGTGCGTAATCTGATGTTGACGCGCATTCAAAAGTTTCTCCTCACTTTTGTGGCAACCAGCGATTTCTTAGATTTGCCGCTAAAGCATCTTGTCTACCTTCTCTCCTCAGATGAGATCTGCGTAAATAGTGAAATTGAGGTCGGCTAATTTTCCTATTTATCATTTTTGCATTTGTATTGTAACATTTTATTAACTCTGCAGATACTTTTCATTGCCGTACGCTGGCTGGGACACGACTGGGGGAGGAGAAAAGCGAATGTGCAGAGTCTGATTGATTGTATTCGCTTCAGTTCCATGCCTCTTTGGTATTTGCTGTGCGTGCGGCGGGTGGAGACGCACAGTCTTCTCAAAGAGCTGCTCAGTTTACCCACCGTCGATGCGCTCATCAATCAGTCCATTTCGCAGATTACTTCCAAAATGTACGAAGAAAAACAGGAGGGATTTATTTTAGATTACGATTGCATCTCAAAGAATTTACAACAGTCGCGCCGTTGGATCGTGGATGATGCGTGTCCTTATTATCATCACATTTGCTGTCCGCATACGCGCGACATCAGTTTTATACAGTTCGAATCTTATTTAGCCGCGTTGCAGCAGCAGTCAATTGATTATTGGACCAAAGTGGAGATGTTGGATGTAAAGAATCCGAGAAAGTGTAGCTGCATGCAATAACGGTAGATTCAAATTCCACAAGCCATTAGAAAATCAAATTTGGCATTCCCACTTATACGTTTTAATGTTCAAAAAAGAAAATAGTCCGGCAACGTTACTTTATTGTATTAAAAAAAAACAAAAACATTAGTCTGGCAGCCTAGCCAACAGATGTTTCGTTGACGTTTGTTATTTCGAGGTGTTGTTTACGTTGTTCTATTAAATAAAATGGAAAAGCTTGAAGCGCTTAAAATATCGACAATGCGTCCGCGCAGCAATATACTGGATCGACCACTATCGAAGGGCAAGTCCGAAGTCTCACACAGCATTGTGGCTTTGCTCTTCAGCGAAATTGTTCAATACTCCCAGAGTCGAGTTTTCACAGTTCCCGAATTGCAAACAAGGTAATTTGATGTTTGCTTTGTGATTCTGGGAATTGAAAATAATCCAACATCTTTTAGATTACACGAATTGGGTCAAGATGTGGGCACACGCATCATTGATTTGTACTTTGTGCGCGAACGCAGCTCCAAACGTGAGACGAAGCTAACGCAAATGCTGCTCTTTGTGAAGACAACGGTGTGGAAGAACTTGTTCGGCAAGGAGGCCGAGAAGTTGGAGCATGCTAACGACGATGAGCGAACCTACTACATCATTGAAAAGGAACCACTGGTAAACACGTTCATCAGTGTGCCCAAAGACAAAAGCTCACTGAATTGCGCCAACTTTACGGCCGGCATTGTCGAAGCGGTGCTAACACATTGCGGATTTGTAAGTTGCCATTTAAGCTCAAATTGGATACACATTAAACATATTTACAAATCTTTCAGCCCTGCAAAGTAACGGCACACTGGCATAAAGGCACGACATATATGGTCAAGTTTGAGGACTTTGTCATAGCGCGCGACAAGCAAATGGAGGAAAAATAGAAACATGCTTAAATTATTAATAAAAATAACTTCTAATTACAAATACCCAACCGATAAATGTATATTTTTACAATTTTTCATTAATTTGATTCCGCAACATATATTGCCTGAGAGTTGAGTAGAGCCTTAAACGAACTTGAACCTGCGATCCTTGTAGGCCACCTGACCGGTGCGATATTTCTGTTCACGGCAATCGCGCTCGCTCTTCAGCATCCAGGCGTAAATGGCAATGGGCAGCACGACGGCGAAGAGGCCCGTGCGGAACGCATGTCCGGTGGGACGAAAATGCTCAATATGTGAGACGCGCATAGCCTGGAAGCGGGCTAGGCCAGAATCGAACTGCAATTAAGTAAATATTTATTATTGAGCATTCCAAAATGCTGACATGTGATGACATAACCATTATTTGGCACTTACCACAGTGCCGCCCTCTCCGGTGGCATGACGGAAAGGATTGGAGCTCTGCTTCAAGTATTCGTTACGGAGCTTAAGTGTTTGCTCATGCTTGCGGCGAATAAATTCCTCCTGTTCCTTGGTTACAACCATTTTATTCTGTTGCAAAACTCAACTTGTGCTGGGCAACAAAACCAAATGCCTAACAGCTGTTTGCAAACACTAAGAAGCAGATAATTTGGCATTCGCGTCGAAACGTCACCATTAAGTGTGACAGATGGCAGCTCTGTTTAAAAGCGCTTTAATAAATTAAAGCTGGCAGTGCCGTTAATTGTATATTCAAATTGTTTAATCTGAGTGCGGGGCGGTCGCATGAGTAACAGTTGTGTTTTTAACTGTAAAAGTCAGTATTTCTGGTGAGTTAAATTACTAATTTTATGTTTATCGAATAGAGAGTGTAGCTTAAGTAATTTTATTTTCACTCGCTTTTGGACTAGTGTTATAAATATTGAACATAAAGTCTACTGCTTCGTTGCTGCACCCCAACAGCACCGTTATACGCACGCTCAGGCTCTACTGCTCTCGCACGCACACACATTCTCTCTCCCCTTCTCCCTGCCCCTCTCTCTTACTCTCTGACCTACTCAACAAATGAGTACATAACTGCGCATGTCCTGCAAAGTGTTATGCGCAGATCTCGTGTCAATGTCCTGTTACCCAGACATTTCAACTAATTTGCAAACTTATGCTAGCTGCACTGAGTATTCAGTTTTCCAAAGAGATAACGGTAGTTTCTTTTTTATATTTTCTGCTTAAATAACTTAGTTATTTGTGCAATAGTCTTTCGGTGTAATTTGAAGCATCTCTGGTTATAAATCAATACCCTAAGTCGCTATAAGAATTGCCACTGCGCAAGACAAACTTCGTCCTCGCCGTCCCACACATGACCAACTGCGTGGGTGTGACAGAGAAGGCGACAACCAAAGCGTGCATGAGCCAGAGAGAGTGAGAGAGAGAATAGTGGATTGAGCTAACGCGCATGTTCTACGTAGTTGGGCGTTTATATTGTTGTTGTTGCTGCTGCTGCTGCCGCTGGCTTGGTTGGTTTTCCTCTGAAGCTCTGCTGCTGTTGGTGGTGGTGCACTTGGCTTAGCTGTGTTCGCTTTGGGGGTTGGGTCAGTGGGTTTGGTAGGCAGCCGAGCTGTTTGTCACCGCGGCACGCTTACCTGCTTTAGGGGTTGTTGTTGCCCGGGAGTTGCGCTGTAGCGTTGCTTTCATTGCTTTGCCTTTCACTTGCCGACTGTCGGACGTAGCGTAAAGTTCTCTTTTGTTGTTGTTGTTGTCGTTGCAGGACCGTAGGAAAGCACCTCAAATGGTTTAATTGCAAACGCAACGTGCTCGTTTATTGATTTTTGCATACAACATCTACATAAGTAATATTAGAGGTAAGTGATTTCAATTGATTTCGTTTTCAGCCAAGAAATATGTATGTATGTAATTGCAAGTCGTGTTCGCAGTTCTTGCCATGAGCGTTAAGTCGAGTGCACGGATAAAGAAGCGACGCTCGGCGGAGGCAGCAGCCGCAACGGCATCCCCAGCCTCTGGCTCCTTTGCGGCCATCAGCAGTCAGCGCGGCGCCGTCGGCGGCAGCAGCGTCGCCAACAACAACAATAACAACAACAGCAGTAGCAATAGCAATGGGAATGCCAGCAATGCCAGCAGTGGAGCCAGCGGCAGCAATTCGAATGCCAATCAGAATCTCAGCAAGAAGCACAATTTCGTCGGGCGTAATCCCAATTTCGATACGGACGAGACGAAGCTGCTCATCCAGCTGTGGGGCGATCCGAAGCTGCAGCGCACACTGATAACAACGCACAAGAAGCATGCGGTCATCTGCCAGCTGGCGGCCAAGATGCAGGAATATGGCTATCATCGGTCGCCGGAGGAGATCACGACGCGCATCAAGAATCTCAAGTGTTTCTACAATCGCCTAAAGAAGGACAAGGAGTACGGCATGTCCGGCGACACGGAGCCCAGTTGGAAGCATTTCGCTGAGATGGATGCCATCATGACGCGTCCCATATTCAGTGTGCGTCCCAACGAGGTGCCGGCGCCGTCTCTTAAATACCAACTGGAGCAGGCACTGGAGGAGCACGCGGAGCGTCGGAAACGCCGCCAGGAGAACGGTGAGGAGCTGTCGGAGAGTGACAACGAGGAAGACGATATTCTGCTCTCCTCGCTGGTGCCCAATGGCACCAACGGCAGTAAGTCCAAGCCAGATGATAACGAAGGCGATGTCCAAGTGGAGGTGGACGGCGGTGACGTCTCGCCCAAGCGGCGCAAGCTGACCTCTGAGAAGGATGTGGAGGATGCCGAGGCAGCTACACTCGAGACTCGCATTAAGACTGAGCCAGTCAGCCAACCGGAGGCGAGTCCAGCGCCCGAGTTGAGCCCAGCAGCAACCGCAACAGCGATTCCTGCCGCACCTGCCGCAGGTGCCACAGATCCCGAGGAGGATGATGACTGCATGCTGTTGCCGCTGCCGAAGGAGGAGCCCATCGATGTGGATGCCGTCGAGGAGCCTGTTCCCGCATCACCCAAAATTGCCAGCACCGGCAATGTAGTGGCGCCCACGCGTCCTGTGATGCCCACGCTTACAGACATGCTGCAGCTGCCGAAGAACACGAATCTGCTGCCGTACAGCGGCGCCAATGTCATCATACCGGCCAACAGCATCAGCACCAGCGTCTCTCAGCTGACCAGCACAACGGCCAGCAGCAGTGCGTCCAGCGGCAAACTCACTCCGGGCAAGATCTCGCTGGTGCCCACGAATTTCCTCATGCAGCCCAAGCAGGCGTCCAATGCGACAGCAGCGGGCAAGGCGGTGAGCGCAGCTGCCGGGACACAGCTGCAGCTGCTGCAGAGCGCCATTAATCAAGGCGCACGTCTGATGATCAGCGGCTCGGCGCCCACGCCTGTGCAGGCGACGCCCAGCTCCGGTCTGGTGACGGGCCCCGGCGGCGTCAAGTTTGTGCTGGTCAATGCAGAGCAGGCGGCGGCGGCCAAGGCTGTGGCAGCTGTGGGCAAGCCGACGGCGGCCGGGATTACCACGGCAGCGCTGCCGCAGCAAACGCAGCAGCAGAAGCTGCAGCAGCAGCAAACGGATTACCTGACGCAGCAGCAGCTCCAGCAGACACAGCCGCAGCAGGTGCAGCAGGTGCAACAGCTGCAGCAATCACAGCAGCAGCAGCAGCATCAGCAGCTGCAACAGCAACAACAAAATCAGCAATTCGAGAAAAAGGAGGAGAAACGTCGCGCCCAGGAAATGCTGCGCGAGGAGCAACAGTCCAAGCGGCACATGACAAGTGAGTCGGTTGATGATCCCCCTAGAGACAATCATTATTTAATTTAATCATTTGCTCTCTATCTCTATCTAACCAGCCATGAGGATCATGCTGCGCCAGCTGCTTAACGCCCAAAACGAGGCCAACGAGATCCAGCACAATCGCCTGTCGCTGGAGCGTGAGCGCCTGGACTGGGAGAAGTCAATGGGTGAACGTTTGCTCACAATGCTGCCCACGCTGCTGCAGCCGACGGTGGCAACAGCTGCAGCGGCTGCGGCTGCTGCTGCAGGAGTGCCGCCGCCCGCAGCGACGCATCAGTCGCCGCAGTTCATAGTCTCGGGCACGGCAGCAGCGGCGGCGGCGGCGGTATCGGCGGCGCAGCGCTTACAGCCGCCCAAGCTGCTCTTTACCACCGCCCTGCCGATGGCCAACGGCACCGTCTCCATGCCCCACATACTCAATCCGAATAGCGCGCTGGCCAGCTCGCTGCCGAAGGTCATTGGAGCACCGGTGACTGCGTCTGCGGCATCGGGCAGCGCAGCGGGAGCAGCTGCCAGCAATGCATCAAAGACCGTAGATATTTGCACGGATATTAATGAGGTACAGCTCGTCACTCCCAAGCTGGAGAAGGACTGTTAATTGTCGACAATTCCTTTACTCTCTTTTTTTTTTGATTTTATCGCAGTTACCAAGAGAATACTCAAATAAACTTTACACTAAAATGTTTATTGCTATCTAAATATAATGTATACATATTTAATTAAGATGATTTTATTTATTTATTTAGAGATTAGACTCAATATAAAACTAAGCACTGGCAATTAGATATATTTACGATAGTTCTTTATACTAACATTCACTCGCCTCCAAATATTTTAATTCAATGATTTGTTCCTTTAAGATCATTAGTTTCTTATATTAAAATTCACTCTGATCAATTTTTGTTTAATTCATGTTTTATTTGTATATAGGAAACTGAAGTTTGAACTCTAACGGTTTATGGGGTGAAATAGTCGGAATGAGAACTTCTTCACCTTCGAATGA